TGTAGAGCGTGACGACTACAGAGCGTGACGACTGTAGAGCGTGACGACTACAGAGCGTGACGACTATAGAGCGTGACGACTACAGAGCGTGACGACTATAGAGCGTGACGACTGTAGAGCGTGACGACTACAGAGCGTGACGACTATAGAGCGTGACGACTATAGAGCGTGACGACTACAGAGCGTGACGACTATAGAGCGTGACGACTGTAGAGCGTGACGACTATAGAGCGTGACGACTGTAGAGCGTGACGACTATAGAGCGTGACGACTACAGAGCGTGACGACTACAGAGCGTGACGACTGTAGAGCGTGACGACTGTAGAGCGTGACGACTGTAGAGCGTGACGACTGTAGAGCGTGACGACTGTAGAGCGTGACGACTATAGAGCGTGACGACTGTAGAGCGTGACGACTGTAGAGCGTGACGACTGTAGAGCGTGACGACTGTAGAGCGTGACGACTGTAGAGCGTGACGACTGTAGAGCGTGACGACTACAGAGCTTGACGACTGTAGAGCGTGACGACTATAGAGCGTGACGACTAAAGAGCGTGACGACTACAGAGCGTGACGACTATAGAGCGTGACGACTGTAGAGCGTGACGACTATAGAGCGTGACGACTAAAGAGCGTGACGACTACAGAGCGTGACGACTATAGAGCGTGACGACTGTAGAGCGTGACGACTGTAGAGCGTGACGACTATAGAGCGTGACGACTAAAGAGCGTGACGACTACAGAGCGTGACGACTATAGAGCTTGACGACTGTAGAGCGTGACGACTATAGAGCGTGACGACTAAAGAGCGTGACGACTACAGAGCGTGACGACTACAGAGCGTGACGACTGTAGAGCGTGACGACTACAGAGCTTGACGACTATAGAGCGTGACGACTATAGAGCGTGACGACTAAAGAGCGTGACGACTACAGAGCGTGACGACTATAGAGCGTGACGACTACAGAGCGTGACGACTGTAGAGCTTGACGACTACAGAGCGTGACGACTGTAGAGCGTGACGACTACAGAGCGTGACGACTGTAGAGCGTGACGACTACAGAGCTTGACGACTACAGAGCGTGACGACTGTAGAGCTTGACGACTACAGAGCCTGACGACTGTAGAGCGTGACGACTACAGAGCGTGACGACTGTAGAGCGTGACGACTACAGAGCGTGACGACTGTAGAGCGTGACGACTACAGAGCGTGACGACTGTAGAGCGTGACGACTGTAGAGCGTGACGACTGTAGAGCGTGACGACTGTAGAGCGTGACGACTACAGAGCTTGACGACTACAGAGCGTGACGACTATAGAGCGTGACGACTACAGAGCGTGACGACTATAGAGCGTGACGACTACAGAGCGTGACGACTATAGAGCGTGACGACTACAGAGCGTGACGACTATAGAGCGTGACGACTACAGAGCGTGACGACTGTAGAGCGTGACGACTACAGAGCGTGACGACTGTAGAGCGTGACGACTACAGAGCTTGACGACTACAGAGCGTGACGACTGTAGAGCTTGACGACTACAGAGCGTGACGACTACAGAGCGTGACGACTACAGAGCGTGACGACTATAGAGCGTGACGACTATAGAGCGTGACGACTACAGAGCCTGACGACTGTAGAGCGTGACGACTACAGAGCGTGACGACTACAGAGCTTGACGACTACAGAGCGTGACGACTGTAGAGCGTGACGACTACAGAGCGTGACGACTACAGAGCTTGACGACTACAGAGCGTGACGACTGTAGAGCTTGACGACTACAGAGCGTGACGACTACAGAGCTTGACGACTACAGAGCGTGACGACTGTAGAGCGTGACGACTACAGAGCGTGACGACTACAGAGCGTGACGACTACAGAGCGTGACGACTACAGAGCGTGACGACTACAGAGCGTGACGACTACAGAGCGTGACGACTATAGAGCGTGACGACTATAGAGCGTGACGACTACAGAGCCTGACGACTACAGAGCGTGACGACTACAGAGCGTGACGACTACAGAGCGTGACGACTACAGAGCGTGACGACTACAGAGCGTGACGACTACAGAGCGTGACGACTACAGAGCCTGACGACTTCAGAGCGTGACGACTACAGAGCGTGACGACTACAGAGCCTGACGACTACAGAGCCTGACGACTACAGAGCCTGACGACTACAGAGCCTGACGACTACAGAGCGTGACGACTACAGAGCGTGACGACTACAGAGCCTGACGACTACAGAGCGTGACGACTACAGAGCGTGACGACTACAGAGCCTGACGACTACAGAGCGTGACGACTACAGAGCGTGACGACTACAGAGCCTGACGACTACAGAGCGTGACGCCTACAGAGCGTGACGACTACATCGCCTGACTACAGAGCGTGACGACTACAGAGCCTGACTACAGAGCGTGACGACTACAGAGCCTGACGACTACAGAGCCTGACTACAGAGCGTGACGACTACAGAGCGTGACGACTACAGAGCCTGACGACTACAGAGCCTGACGACTACAGAGCGTGACGACTGCAGAGCCTGACTACAGAGCGTGACGACTACAGAGCGTGACGACTACAGAGCCTGACGACTACAGAGCCTGACGACTACAGAGCCTGACGACTACAGAGCCTGACGACTACAGAGCCTGACGACTACAGAGCCTGACGACTACAGAGCCTGACTACAGAGCCTGACGACTACAGAGCCTGACTACAGAGCCTGACTACAGAGCGTGACGACTACAGATCCTGACGACTACAGAGCCTGACTACAGAGCCTGACTACAGAGCCTGACTACAGAGCCTGACGACTACAGAGCCTGACTACAGAGCCTGACTACTACAGAGCGTGACGACTACAGAGCCTGACGACTACAGAGCCTGACGACTACAGAGCCTGACGACTACAGAGCCTGACGACTACAGAGCCTGACGACTACAGAGCCTGACGACTACAGAGCGTGACGACTACAGAGCCTGACTACAGAGCCTGACGACTACAGAGCCTGACGACTACAGAGCCTGACTACAGAGCCTGACTACAGAGCGTGACGACTACAGATCCTGACTACAGAGCCTGACTACAGAGCCTGACTACAGAGCCTGACTACAGATCGTGACGACTACAGATCCTGACCACAGAGCCTGACTACAGATCCTGACTACAGAGCCTGACTACAGAGCCTGACTACAGATCCTGACTACAGATCCTGACTACAGATCCTGACTACAGATCCTGACTACAGAGCCTGACTACAGATCCTGACTACAGAGCCTGACTACAGATCCTGACTACAGAGCCTGACTACAGAGCCTGACTACAGGAGAAACAGGTCATCTTGTGAGGTGGTCACCTTTAGTGCAAGAACGACACTAGTGCCCGAGGCCCCCCAGCTCCCACTCTTATGTACCCTTGATATACGGTACAATGCGTCATGGGGAGCCCCCAGAAGGGTGTCTTGGCTCAAGAAAGCACTAACAACGTCTCCTGGAGGTGCAGGACCTCCTCCTACCTCACTTTTGGCTGTCTTGGGGGTCATTCCAGGGAACACAGTCTCCGACTTGGCTTCCCCCGGGGGCCTGATTCACGAAGCAGTTACGCAGGCACTTAGGAACTTAGGGCCTGATTGACGAAACAGTTATGTAGGTACTTACGAACCTGGGGCCAGATTCACGAAGCAGTTACTAACCTGGGGCCAGATTCATGAAGCACTTACGAACCTGGGGCCAGATTCGCGAAGCATGTACGTAGACACTTACGAACCTGGGGCCAGATTCACGAAGCAGTTACGTAGGCACTTACGAACCTGGGGCCAGATTCACGAAGCAGTTACGTAGGCACTTAACCTGGGGCCAGATTCACGAAGCAGTTACGCAAACACTTACGAACCTGTACATCTTTTCCTTATCTTTGGCGGCTTTGTTTACAATTATTAAACAGTTAATGAGCTCGGAAGCACCAGGAGGCTGTTTATAACAATAACAACAGTTGATTGGCAAGTTTTCATGCTTGTAAACTGTTTAATAAATGTAACCAAAGCCGTCAAAGATTGAGGAAAGATGTACACTCTAGCCTGCAGGAGTGTACATATATAAATACAGATGTACATATAGAGGTCGAGTGGTTTAAGGCACCGTGTACATCAGTAGCAATGTGCTCCTGGCGGTCCGGGTTCGAGTCACTTCTGGGGTGTGGAGTTTTCAGTCGCATATATGCTTGGGAACCATTCAAGGTTGTTCGCATATGCAGATACATGTATAGATACAGATACAAATCTGTATCTCTCAGGAGAATACAGATTTAGGCTCTTTAGTCGGTCCCAATAGTTTAGATGTTTTACTGAGTGGATTCTAGCAGTAAAGGATCTCTGCACGCCCTTCAGGTTAGGATTGTAGTATATATGTTTTTGGTATAGCTGGCCGCTCGAAACCACAGTCTGTTAGATCAAGTGAGCCCAGGAGAAGCTGGCTTCAAGCCAGGCTTGAGGAATAGAAGGAGTATACTCCACTCCAGGTAATATACTCCGCGGAGTGCCACAGGGCCGCGCTGGGCCAATATATATCGAATCCGCTATCGATTTCCCATTTCTGAGGATGTTTACAGTATTTTCTATGTTCATCCCCGGGCGCGGGCGTGAGGCGCGGGCGTGAGGAGCGGGCGTGAGACGGGGCCTGGGTAGGAGGGCAGGGAAGATGGGAGGGCGCCAAACTCATACTTTTTCCCTAAGGTGTTTTTCCTTACCCCTACCATAGTGCCCAATCGCCATGGCGGAACGAGGGGGCAGGCTGGTGTGTTGGGCAAGGCTGTGTTGCTCTCAACCAAACTATCTCTTCAGTCTTGTGAGAAAATTATTTAACAATTAAGGTAAATCATTGTAACCACAGAGCTTTTTTTTAAGACTCCAGCCGCTGTAAGCTGTAACCTCTGGGCCCCAGGCGTTACAGAGCTCTGTAGTCATGGTTGATATAACAACATGTGTGTTTTTTGTTGCAGGTGTGTACTGGGGTGTCTTGGGTGTCGCCCGGTGGAGTGTGGACCATATGTGCGGGTGTAGAGGTAAGTGTTGGTGTACAGGTGTGTGAGCGAGGGGTTAGGGGTTGTTACAGGTGTGTGTGTGTGTGTGTGTGTGTGTACTCACCTAGTTGTGCTTGCGGGGGTTGAGCTCTGGCTCTTTGGTCCCGCCTCTCAACTGTCAATCAACAGGTGTACAGGTTCCTGAGCCTATTGGGCTCTATCATATCTACACTTGAAACTGTGTATGGAGTCAGCCTCCACCAGGTGTGTGTGTGTGTACTCACCTGGTTGTGTTTGCGGGGGTTGAGCTTTGCTCTTTCGGCCCGCCTCTCAACTGTCAATCAACTGTTTACTAACTACTTTTTTTTCCACACCACACACACACTCAGGAA